ATGCTCTGTACATTGTTTGCTCTCATGGTAATGAAAGTTATGTACACTGAATAGAGGCTGGACCTCTAGGGACAGTGCTAAAGGCAGAGAAATCCATGTAACAGTTCACTGCAGGTGTGAGTCAGAGACTGGATAAAGCTGGTCTCTACACTGAAAAACTGATCTGAATAGAAATTGATTGAGTTTTTTGTAGGTAAGGGCATTTTATTGAACAACTCTCAAAACCACAAAAGTATACACCAAGCACTTGTCCATCGGATTCTGTTCCTTTCCCTGTACCTCACATATGCCACTTGTAGATTTAGGATTGGTGCCTTCCTGATTATCTAGTGCAACAGGATCCCAAACATGATTGGCTCTTTAGAGCATTGCCACAACATGAAGACGAAGAAGAAGAATGCACTCCTGTTCCTTTTTTTCCATTCTGTTTTCTCTTGTACTTTATTTCTTTCATTTCTCACTGAGTCATTTTTGTCTGCTTCAGTTGAAGCAATTTGTGTTTTGTTTTTTAGGTTTTGATATAGATTTCCAGTTGGAGGCTTGTTTATCATTCAGGAGATGATATGCTGTTTGTCAGCGCCTGCTGCAGGCCAGGTTGAGAAGAAGAACAAGGAGCTTCTGCTCACTTGGAAACTAGCCCAAGGCAGCTCTTGCTCCACAGTTCATGCAGTTAGAACTGTTTGGTCTGCACAGGTTTGCCGAACAGACATGGTCAAGATAAAAATGATTTGTTTTTTCCTTGAGTCCTTACTTGTATTAGTAATACTTTGAATCAGTCCAGCAAACAGCATAATTGGTCTAACTCTTAACCATTCCTGCAGTTTTTCTGACTGCATTCAGTTTGGGATGGTGACCTGATCTAGTCCATTGCATTTTCTGCTTCTCCTACAGTAGCCCAGTGTTGTTGTTTGGGTGTCCAGCAATGCTAGGATAAGCAAGAGTTTTGTTTTGGTTTCCTTTAATGTCATTGTACAAACCATAAGCACAGGCACCATTTAAGACCATGCCCTTGAATGCATTGTGTTTTTTAAAGCTCACCACACCTAGGATTCTTCTTATATACTAGCTTTGTAAAGTAAGTCTTAAATTAGATATTGTCAGTTTTAGCAAAGATGCTAGTTTATCAGAGAAATGCATCCTACTTGAAGTTGTGCGCACCTGATGCACTAAGTTTTTTTTCCACCTCTTTAGAGTTCGTTGGATTAGGGTCAAGTTAAAAAGCAGAAATTCAGTATTCTGAGAGGAAACAATCAGCTGAATTTAGTTGTTCATTTTCAGCATAGGTTAGCATTCACTGTTTCTCAGCCCATGGGTTGTGACTCAAAAGCGGGTCTCAAGAATACATGAAAGAGTCGTGAATAAACTTTAAAAATGGATTCTCTTTTAAAGAAGAAAGAAACATGGGAAACCATGACTTTTCCCTTTTCCTAGTTCCAGCCTGCCATGGGCCCCCCTTGCCCCACACACCTACTCATGCGGCTTTGTGCTAGCACTGGGGGCTGGGGGCAGTGGGTTGAGAGTGAGGGACACTGGATCGAGATGGCCATCAATATTTACAAATGGGTCCTGATACAAGAAAGGTTGAGAACCACTGGGTTAGATGACATGAGAATCTGTGTTTGGGGCTGTTTTCTTGTTATATCATTAATTAAATGAGCCCCAGTTAAGATCAGTTGTGCTAGACACTGTATGAACCTATAGTGGGAAACTAAGACGCAGGATATGTTAAGCAACTTTTTGCACCTAGAGTTGTTTTTCTAACCAAACAAATGCGGAGAGGGGATCTAATGTTCTCTATAAGATATTGAAGGTGGAAGGTGTGGCTAAACAGCAGCAAGCAAAAAAAGACAAAGGACAATGTTGGCAAAAGGCCACATGAGTAAAATCTGTCCATCACTACACTGAAGTAGGACATAAAGTTTCTAACCATCAGCGCAGTGAAGTTCTGGAACAGCCTTAATGTTAACTACTCTTAAACCCATGGACACACAAATGGGTCAACCCATTGCCAGCCAGGCTGTCTATATTTTTTTTTTAAAGTTGAGAACACCTGCTAGTGGCTCCAGAAGCGGTTTAGTCTTGCCTTGATGTTGGCACATTTACCTCTTGCTGAATAGGAGCTGAATTTTTCACACTTTCTATGCCTGTCTTTGAAGGTACAGCTTGCTTGTTTCTCACACTTTCAAATGCACCACCTGCTTGTTTGCGTGCAGTTACCATGGTGTGATTAGCTACAGGCTTGTGCCTTAAGCATTCTCCTTGTCTGTCCACAGCCTAAAATTAAGTTTGCTAAATTTATGAAGGGGATTACATGGTGTGTTTGCCTCTTACAGCAGGTAATTTGATTTGATGCCCCCAAAAGTATCTTCCAGTCTCTTCCAGTCCAATATTTCTAAGTTTTAGGGAGAATAGAAAATAATCATTGTACTCTTTGCTTAGAGTTAAGTCCTCTCTTGAATTGGTATTGTCTTCAGCAGTCTTAAAATCAGATAAAGCACAAAACTGTGCTTTGTCATGTTTCCCCCCACTAGACTTTGCATTTTATTCAGTCTGATGTTCATTCTGCTAGGTCCAACTTTCTCTTTATCAAGCTGCTTCCTTAAGAAGTCAGTAGAAATAACCATAATAACAAAGTAGCCATGTCTCTTGTTTACTGGAAAAACTAGGAATTGACAGTAACAAAGGCCTTGTACTGAACTATGTGCCCAGTAGGCACTGTTATGGTGCCTCTATATACTGTATAGATTCTGTACCAAAAAAATTGTGAGTTTCTTTCTCTCTGCTTTAAGGGCAAACTAACTTCACAAGCACAGATCCTCCAACTCAACAGTCCACAAAGCCACTGTGATTTAGTTCCCCTTCCCTTTTTTAAAAAATATATTTTAAGGGATTTTGAATGTGATCACCACCAGATCATAAGTACAAATTATCCAGTTGTTTGTGATCTGAGAAAAAACTTGAGGGAATCTATAGCAGTGAAACAGGAGGGGACATCAAAAAATCTTGGGAAGGGGCGGGGGGAAATACCCAAACTCCAGCAAAGTACTTGAAATTTGTACCCTTTTGTAGTTCTTTTTTTTTCTCCTTGAGTGGGTGTGGCGTGTGTCAGGACAGCCTCTGGAGGGACGTAAAAGAGGAAACCATGGTGAACTAATGTAACTCTCTGACACTTCAGTATAGCAGAAACAGCTCATCTTCCTGCCTCCTTCCAGAGGTCTTTCTTGGAAACTTAAAACATGCATTCCCCTGGGTGTTTTGGTTGTTAACAGCCAGATAAATAGTTTTGTTTCTTCATTTCCTGCCATTTTGGGTTTCCTTCAGGACTTTCCCAGTGAGAATGGGGAGAGGTCAGTGTTCAGCTGTGTAGAAAAACAAACTGCTTAATAGGTCAGATGGGGAAAGCAAAATATCAAGGTCATCCTCTCCCTCCCTTTCTCTTGGGTTGGAGGGAAAGGAACATGGAGCCTCTATATAACCGTCAATGTCTGATTATTCTTTTCTATCAGTTCATCTCTGGTTGGCACTGTCTGCTGTTTCTCGCATAATGGAGTCGGTCCTGGGTTTGGTGGGGTGAGGGGCGCAAAAGGCAACCATCCTCACCACAAGATTGCAGAGTCCCTGCCACGACTGTGAAAAGAAAATGTATTTGAGCTGAGCTGAAGCTGTTTCTCAATCAGTTCCCAGGAGGGGTACAGCTATGTACACTGGGTTCTGCAGGGAAGAACAGAAAGAGGACCGGCCTGGCACTGACAGACTTGAAATGTGGCCTTTCTGTAGCCAATACAGATTGGCCACAGGGAGCTTTTCTCCTTCTGTAAGAAGCCATCTATTTTGTTTTAGATGTTGGTTTTAGGGTTTTGTCTTCAGCCTACAGCAGCTGAATAATACTTTTAGACACATCAGTTGCCACTCTTGCCAGCTGTTGCACTGACCAGGCTGTGATGTGAGAATTGCTCCTTCAGTTTTTCAGCTTTTTCACTTGGATCTTATTTGCTGGTGTCCAAATGTGCTTGTAGAAAGGAAGTGGATTTTTAAAAAAAGTAATAAACATGTTAGAGCTAAGCTCTCTCTCCTACCTCCTGCAGAAATCATTAAAACTGTAAATCAGGGGTGGTCAAAATATGCCCCACGGGTCAGATGTGGCCCACCAGGCCATTCTATCTGGCCTGCAGGGCCCCTAAAAAATTATAAAACTAATTATTTGTCTGTGGCTGCCTGTCTAAGCTGATGAGGTGCCAGTGGTGGCAGCAGCAAGGCCAGATGGGCTCCAGCCCACCGCCAGGCCTTCCACCCCCAACCAGAAGCTGAATATGGAACCAGAGCATTTGGGTTTTGGACCTGTTGGTATATAGAGGAGTTTCTAGACATAATTCTCCTTCCTTGTTTGCTCCCCCCAGTACCTCTTTTTCTCATGATATATTGAAGATAGACTTTTTGTCTACTCAAGATTACTCAATTTATTTTATTTTATTTTTAGCTAAGGATTTCTGTCCAGATTAAGCAGTGTTCTGATTGTGATGTTGTGATTGTTGGGTAAGCAAGATTTATATGTGTAGGTGGCTTTAAAATTTCAAATACCCATAATATAAGAGGTGAGAAGAAGTTGGATAACATGTTTTTAATCTTGTGGCTTTTAGAATAGGAAAAATAATCTAAAGACTTCAACTAAATTTGATTCAACTAGAGCTAGTTGAATTTTTGTTATGAATAATTTATCTGATAGACTTAGCCATTTTCCATCCTTTTCAAATTATCTACACTGAGTGACTTACATTTGCCTGTTGTTGTCAATGATCACAAACAAATTTTATCTAATGTTTGGTCACAACCCTGTTGCTGTGAGTATTAACACAATATAATTAACTATCTAACTCGTATGATGCTGGCTGTTCCTTGATTGATTGGCCTAAGTATTTATAAATTAATGAATTTCCATATTATTACTAAATATATGTTCTGGTGACTAGCATTAAGGTGGCTTAAAGAACTTATTTAAACAGATTCGGGACCCCAACCCTTATGATCCACTGCAGCTTCACCAGTCAGCTCCAAACCTAGATTTAATTAGGTAAGAAACACTGGATAAACAGATGCCTCTTGTGGCACTCTTTTTAAAAGATGTGAAGTTCATACTTACTTGTATTTCATCAATGCTTAGATGCCATGGAAACAGGAACTGCAAAAACCTTGGATAAGCAGGGAGTGAATTCACACACTTCTGTAAAAGAGGTAATAGTTCCTTCCCGGGGGTGATGCAAGATGCTTTGAGCTAATGACTCTATTCAGCTTGCTGGTTGTGTCTGTTTTTAAGACAAGAACTTTTGTTTAAGAAAGAAATCTTAAATACCATAATCTTTAAAGTAGGGGTTTGTCTTAGTTCCATTGCCCAAATTTATCCCTTCCCAATGCAAAGGTTAGGTTTGAATTCCCAGAGATGGCTGAATTGTGGCAGTATTGTGTGTGCATAGTTTGTGAAATGCAGTAGCCTTTGAGTGCTTGTACATCTGACGTCATTACCATGTACATGTGATGAAAATGTCACTTTGTGTGGCTTAACAGTGTCACACTGTACATGTGCAAGAGTTTTGGGAGTTTTAAATGAGTTTTAATTGTTGCAAACTAAACTACATCCTGATGTAGTTTAGTTTGCATCAGTGTGTTGCAGTTATTAGTCAGCTTGCCCCCTGACCGTGGGAAAGCTGGGCAGACTGCAGGAAAAAAAGAATCAGGCCCCTTGCCCCTTTTGCCTACATCAGGCGTGTGCCAAAGGCAGAAGCAGCAAGGGGAGCGATCTTTTTTCGCGGAGCTTGCCTGCCTGTCCTGCGGCAAGGGAGTGACTTGCTGGCAGTCCGAGCAGCCCCGGAGGTGCTGGTGGTCCCAGTCCTTCCCTCCGTGACAGTGGTGCCCTCAGGACTGCCCGGGCGGGCTGCTAGCAGGCCAGGTGCTGTCCCAGCTTGGGGTCAGGGAAGAGTTGGATCAGGTCAGGTGCTGCCTCTAAGCTGAGGCAGCACCCCGCCCACTAGCAGCCCAGGTGGCCCCAAGAGACACCGTTGCTGTGAAGAGAAGGACCAGGGTTCCCGACAATTCAGGAGCTGCTTGCCCGCTGGGGTGGGGGAGGGCAGAGGATCGGGCCCCTTGTAACAGTGATGGAAAAATAAAACCTCTAAATGGAAACTGGGTTTCAATTAAAAACCCACCATTTCAATTTAGGGGACATACGCTGCAACCCTAAGGACTAAACCCCCATCATGTATACAAGCGCCCAACACTATTATAATACTGGGGCTTGTTTCTTTTTCAATTAATATTGAGAAACCTAATTATATTCTTCCTTGCCTCTTAACAGAATTTGAGGTGGTAGGAGGTGCTGCTCTCTGTTGATTGTGCTCCTGATCCACGTTGGGCTTCTACAACCACTGAGTGAAGATGAGAAGCCTGTCATGAGCATGACGTCGCTGACAAGTATCATTGCCTCCCACCAGTCTGAGTGGGTATCCTTCAGTGATGAGCTCCTCCTTCCTGCAGCTTCACAGGGTAAATAACCTCAGATTTCTTTGTAACCCTTTGAGACTTTCTTCACTTATGTGGCCCAAGTACCGACACAGGTTTAGGGTCTTCGAACTTGCTTTTTGAGTGGATTGTAGGTTGTTACCTCTTACTTCCCTGGCATAATAAAAAAACCTGGGTAAAAATATTATAGGATCATAGGCTTGGAAGAAGGAGGTCAATGATCTTTTAGTTCAGCAACCTTTTCTGGCAGATGTCATGAATGAGCCCCATACCCTTCCCTGAGTGCCACTCTGATTCCCTTCCTCTGCCTGATTTGTTGCCCTGCTTTTTCTCCTTGCCCAGTATCCTGTTTTGCTTTCTGCCCTATCTGTTGCTGTTCTGCCCATCCCCTCCCATATCTGCTGCATGCCACACAAAGGCCGGCTATACTGCTTGTGGCTGCCCCTGACTTAGTCTAACCCCTGCACCAATGCAAAATGCTATTCCTAAACCATCCAGAAAATACTTATTTAGCCTCTTCTTGAAACCTCCGATGAAGGAGATTCCACAGTGTCCCTGGGCAGCTTTGCTCTATTTTGTTACTGTTCTTACAGTAAGGAAGTTTTTCCTGAGATTTAATCTCTATCTTTTCTGCTGCAGTTTAAATCCATTGCTTCATGTCCCACTCCTTCTAGCAAGAAATAGTTGTTCTCCATCTTTTATATGGCAGACTTTCAAGTATTTGAAAACTGCCATCATGTCCCCCACCCTCCTTAATCTCCTGTTCTCCAAACTTAAACATACCTAGTTCCCTCAACCTTTTCTCGAATAACTTGCATTCCAGCCCCTTAATAATTTTGGTCACACGCCTCTTTCTCTACATCCTTCATAAAATGAAGAGTCTAGAACTGCACACAGTGTTCATTGCTAGTTAGGCATCAGCTGGAGTAGACTGTCAGCTCCTGTGTCTTTCATGTGATATTTCTGTTAATGCAGCCCAAAATTGCAGTTGCTTTTGTTGTGACTACATGACATCGCTGACTCATGTTGAGTCTATGCTCCGTCAAAACCCCTAGATTCATTTTAGAAATATTACTGCTTAACCAGTTCTCTCCCATTCTATATTTTTGCACTTTTTTTTCTTCCCTAGCAGCTAAAGTTTGTCTTTGCTGAACTTCATTCTGTTATCCAGTGCCCAATTCTCTAGTCCACCAAGATCCTTTTGAATTCCAGTCCTTCCCTTCCAAATTTGTGTAGTCTTTCTCAGTTTTGTATCATTTGCACACTTGGTCTGTTACAATGCTGGCCCTGAGGCAGAACCATGTGAAATCCCACTTGAAACCTCTTGACAGTCTGACATTGATTCATTTTATAATTTGTGCTATTTGCAGCTGTTCAGTTAATTTATATATCCACATAACAGTAATTTTTTCTAATTCACATTCCTCCAGTTTGTTTATAAGAATATTGTGTAGGATTGTATCAAAAACCTTTTTAAAGTTAAAGTATATTATGTCCACTGCATTCCTTCCATTCACCCCATTAGTTAATCTGTCAAGAAAGTACTGGTAGATCAAGGTGTTTTGGCATGGTTTATTCTTTACAAATCCATGTTGGGTGTTTTTGATCACCCCTTTCTGCTTCAAACTGTTTACAGACTGACTTTTATAGTTGGCTGTAAGAACTATCCAGGTTTTAAAGTCAGGCTAAGCGGTCTATAATTACTCAAGAATTATAGGCACATGAAAATATCAAAAAAATGTTTTTTTGTGTGTTTTGTTGTTGTTTTTTTTTCATGACGTCCAGTTTTGCCTTCAGTTATAAGGGTGTCTTGCCCTGATTATATAGCATGTTTCACCTTGTACAATCAGGGTCAGAACAAGGAGCGAAAAATCTGTAATTGAACTATAGTCGGAAGTTTCTACTAAGATTGTCTATAGACCATTCTTGGAAATAAAATAAACAAATAGAAGGCAGCTGCAACAAAGATCTCTTCTGTTCATAGTGATTCACCTCTTAGGGTGATAGTTTGGTTAAAAAACTCAAGGCAAAAGAGCATCTCGCATTAGCCATCAGCAATGCTATTTATACAAGCTATAGAAAAGGAATTAAACATGAAAATAGGCCCTCACTGCTTGATTTTTCTATTGCTAATACAGTGAAGATTTTTAATTTCTCTCTACTAGGACTGTTATTTATTAAAGGGTAAAATACAAAAAGGTTATTCTGATAGTAGGAGCTTATTTTTCTTTCAAGACTACATCATTAGGGAACCCTCACATTGACACTCTGCTGTGTACATTGTGCCCTTGGCTTATGCATGAACCAGTCCTGCCCAGTGCATGAAAACAGGCAAACAAGGTTCCTTGGGTGAATTTGATATCTTTTATTAGACCAACCCAAATAGCTGGAGAACAGTTATTAAGCAAGCTTTCGGGTTCAAAAACCCTTTGTCAGGCTAAGGCAGTTTCAGCAGTTGGTGTGTGCTCTTCCTGGATGGAATGAAAAGTAAAGAAGCCAGGGGCTGGGCTGGGCTGGGCTGGGCTGGGGAGTCAGTTGCCAGGCAGATTATAATGTATCAAAAATCCAATGTCTATGTTTAGTCCATGATCTCTAGTATCCAGCAGGTTGATGAAATGGAGCTCATAGGCTGGTCTCTGGGAAGTGTTGTGTAAGTTTCCCTTGAGGATCAGGACTAAGAGATTGGAGAGAGAGGGGCCCCCCTGTGGGAAATGTGCCCCCACCGGTAATTGAGTGTTTCTGTCTTTGTTTTTTTTTCCCCCCCCCCCCCCCCAAGTTTAAATGAGTGTGATATTTTTTTTTTTAATGAGTTAGGTGGTCAGGTGGTCATGACAATCTTTATTGGGAAGTCTACAGTCAGCTACAACCGGGTACCATTTTTATTAAGGGTATAAAATCCTTGTCTGCTCTGCATTAGTGTTTGCACACTCACTAACATCTTTCAGGCATAACCTATTTTTGCTGTAGAAATGTCCGCCATTGTTAGGAGGGAAGTTTAGGTTGTAGTATTGCCCTCTACAGAATAGAATAGAATCTGCTGAATTGTGTCCTCTCTCTTGTACTATTACCAGGAAAAAAGCCAGCAGGGGCCTGAGCTTTTTGGGTGCTTGTACATGTGATAGAAATTTCCTTTTTGATGCTTAATGGCATCACACATTACACACATGTGAGTTTTGAGGGTTTTAAATGAGTTTGCATTGTTGCAAACTAAACTACATCCTAGTCCTAGTCAGCTGTTAGTCAGCTTGCCCCCTGGCTGCAGGAGAGGTGGGCAGGCTCTGCAGAAAAAAAGGATCAGGCCACTTGCTGCTTCTGCCTTCAGCAGGTACCTGCTGAAAGCAGAAGTGGTGAGGGGCCTGATCCTTTTTTTTCTTTTTGTAAGAACCTGCCCACCTCTCTCACAGCTGGAGAGCAAGCTGCCAGCAGGCCAAGTGGCCCCTAAGCTGCAGGGGGGCCCTGTTCCTTCCCTCTGTGGCAGTGGTGCCCCCCAGGCTGCCCCAGCTCAGAGGCAGCACCTGGCCCAATCCAGCTCTTCCCTGGGGGGCACCACTACCACAGAAGGAAGGACTAGAGTCCTTGCAGTTCAGGGGCCACTCAGCCCACTGACAGCTTGCTCCCAGCCACAGGCAGACTCTATCAGAAAGAGAGAGAGAGGAAAAAAGAAAAAGGATTGGGGCACCTCATTGCAATAGTGACAGAAAAATAAACCCCCTAAATAGAAATGGTGGGTTTCAATTAAAAATCAACCATTTCAATTTAGAGGGCATAGAAGACGAAACCCCTGTCACGTGTACAAATGATTTTAGAGCTTCGGTGCCCACTCTGACTTGGAAGTTCAGTAGTGACAACCAGGAAGTCCCAGGTTGCTATGGATTTAATGATATGCAAACTGATATGTTGGCTGATCTCGTACGGCGAGCTTTAAACTAGACTCGCCGGGGGAGGGGGCTGCAGGAAGACGAGGAGACGCCATCAGGGCAAGGGGTGCAAAGGTAAGTAATGGGGGTCTTGCCATCAGGGCAAGGGGTGCAAAGGTAAGTAACGGGGGTCCTGATGGTCTGCCTAATCGGGGGTGGGGGGACACACAGTCTTGCAAGGCCTTAAATGCCTGTACACCAATGCTCGTAGCATGGGGAACAAACAGGAGGAACTCGCCCTCAGAATAGCTAGTTCAAATCCAGATGTCGTAGGGTTAACAGAGACGTGGTGGGACTCGTCCCATGACTGGGCAGTTAACATTAGGGGCTATAGGCTGTACAGGCGGGATAGAGAAGGCAGAAAAGGCGGGGGGGTGGCACTCTATGTCAAGGAGCACTACACATCCTCTGCCAGCAGTATGGGGTCAGGGGAAGGGCGAGCTGAAGTGCTCTGGGTCAAGATCCAGGGGGGGCAAGGCGAGAGGGATTTGACGGTGGGGGTCTATTACAGACCCCCCAATCAGGAGGAGGAGCTGGACAGGGAATTTTCAGGCCAGCTTGCGGAGACACTAAAAGCAAGGGATGTAGTTGTCATGGGCGATTTTAATTACCCGGACATCTGCTGGGAGGAGCAGTCAGCCGGGACGGACCGCTCCAGGAGGTTCTTGGCCGAGTTGCAGGACCTCCACTTGATTCAGGAGGTGCACAGTCCCACCAGAGGAGATGCTCTGCTGGACCTGGTCCTGGCCGCAGGCGACGACCTGGTAAGAGGCCTCCAGGTTCTTGACCACCTGGGCAATAGTGATCATCGCGTGCTGGAATTCACCATCCAGCGTAGAGTGTCAAGGGCCCGCAGCAAGGTGGTGGCCCTAGACTTCAGGAGGGCCAACTTCAGTGAGATGAGGAGATTAGTGGGAGAGGAACTGGGGTCCTTGAGGGCAGAGGAACTCAGCGTCCAAGAGGAGTGGTCGTTCCTTAAGGAAACGATACTCGGGGCCCAAGGGGTGTCCATCCCGACAAGAAGCAAGGCGGGCAGGAGTGTCCAAAAGCCCCCCTGGCTCACCAAGGGTGTCCGGGAATGCCTGCTTGCCAAAAGGGTGGCGTACGCCCGGTGGAAGGGGGGTGTAATCTCCAAAGAGGAGTATACCTCCTCTGCTCGGGCCTGCAGGCGGGCTGTTAGGAAGGCCAAGGCGGAGATAGAGCTCGGATTAGCGTCCAGGATTAAGGATAACAAAAAGTCCTTTTTCAAATATATTGGGAGGATGAAGAAGGCGCCGGGTAATGTGGGGCCCCTGCAGGATATGCGGGGCAATCTGGTGGTTGCGTCAGAGGATAAAGCGGACCTCTTTAACCAATTCTTCACCTCCGTTTTCTTGTGCAGGGACCGGGACTTCCCTGCTGTGATAGAAGCCGGACGCGAGGGGATCGCCTTCAGACCTCAGGTTGGGGAGGACCGGGTTAGAGAGCTTCTGGAGGGGCTGGACGCGTTCAAGTCAGCGGGTCCGGATGCTCTCCACCCCAGGGTGCTGAGGGAGCTGGCTGGGGTTATTGCAGGGCCCCTGGCACGGCTCTACGAGCGATCGTGGTGCTTGGGCCAGGTGCCAGACGATTGGAAGGTAGCTAATGTGGTCCCCATCTTCAAAAAAGGGAAAAGGGAGGACCCGGGCAATTATAGGCCCGTCAGTCTTACCTCAATCCTGGGGAAGCTCTTTGAGAAGATCATCAAGGAGCACATTTGTGATGGGCCGGCATCCGAGATGATGCTCAGGGGCAATCAGCATGGATTTATTAGGGGGAGATCATGTCAGACCAACCTGATTGCCTTTTATGATCAGGTCACAAAGGCCATGGACGCAGGTGTCGCGGTGGATGTAGTCTTTCTGGACTTCAGCAAGGCCTTTGACACCGTCTCTCACCCCATCCTAATTAATAAACTAGGCGACTGTGGCATAGATGCCTACACAGTCAGATGGATTGCAGATTGGCTGAAGGGTCGCACTCAGAGGGTGGTGGTGGATGGATCATACTCGACTTGGGGGGAGGTGGGTAGTGGAGTCCCCCAGGGCTCGGTCCTGGGGCCTGCGCTGTTCAATTTCTTCATCAGCGATCTTGATGTTGGGGTGGAAAGCAACCTGTTTAAATTCGCTGATGACACCAAAATTTGGGGGGAGGTGAGCACGCTAGCAGGGAGAGAGAGATTGCAGAAGGATCTGGATAGGTTACAGGGGTGGGCAAACAGGAACAGGATGTGTTTCAATACGGACAAGTGCAGGGTGCTGCACTTGGGTAGTAGGAACCAGCAGCACACTTATACGATGGGGAACTCCCTACTTGAGAGCACGGAGGCGGAAAGGGATCTTGGTGTCATTATTGACTCCAAGATGAACATGGGCCGACAATGCGAGGTCATGGTTGGCAGGGCTAACCGGACCTTGTCGTGCATCCACAGGTGCATCTCGAGTAGAGCCAGGGAGGTGATCCTCCCCCTCTATGCGACGCTGGTCAGGCCGCAGCTGGAGTATTGTGTCCAGTTCTGTGCGCCCCATTTCAGGAGGGATGTGGACAACATGGAGAGGGTCCAGAGGAGGGCCACCCGCATGATCCGGGGACAACAGGGCAGACCCTACAGTGAGAGACTGCGGGACCTGAACCTGTTCAGCCTCCACAAGAGAAGGCTGAGGGGGGACCTGGTGACCGTCTATAAACTCACTAGGGGGAACCAGAAGGGTTTGGGGGAGATGCTGTTTCCCCTAGCCCCCGCTGGCATAACAAGGAGTAATGGGCACAAGTTGATGGAGAGGAGGTACAGATTGGACATCCGAAAAAACTACTTCACAGTTAGGGCGGCTAGGAGCTGGAACCAACTTCCAAGGGAGGTGGTGCTGGCCCCTACCCTGGGGATCTTTAAGAAGAGGCTGGATACTTACCTGGCTGGACTCATTTGAGTCCCGTTTTTGTTTTTAGGGTGAGTTTTTTTTGGGTTGTTCTCCTGCCCTGGCGGGGGGGCGGGCTAGAAGATCTATTAGGTCCCTTCCGACCCTGAAACTATGAAACTATGAAACTAGCCATGTCAACTTAGCTGGGAGAACTGTGATTTTTGGAATGATTTTATCACAAATTTGTTCAAAAGGCTAATTAGGAATTAGGATATAACCTTCTCTAAGATAAAAGAACCATCCAGGAGAGTAGGTGAAGTATCTGCCTGGTTTAGAATAGGGTAATGTTATCCTTACAGTTTTGCACTTCTTTGGTCTGTAAGGGTGCTACTCTCTCCTTTCATATCCTCTCCAGGAGTCACCCTGTCTGCCTTAGTCATTTCTCCACTTCTCAGTTTTACATCCCATCCTCTAAAAGATTTGAGAATGTATTGTTAAATTTGGTGTGGAGACATTTATATGTTGTGTCCCTACTTTAGGTAGCAATGAAGAGCCTCCGGAAAGACATTTTTCTTCTTCAGACACCTCCTCAGAAGATAACCGTAATGTGGATGGAGAATTTCAGGACCTCCTGCAGAGTGAGCTGAGTGATGTATTGGAGAAACCCCAGGTGGAGGACTCTGCATCAGCATCTCTACTTGAGAACCATGAATCTCCCAAATCAGAGCTGCCTTCATCTATCAGTTCCTGGGTTCAGTTTGAAGATACACCATGGACCAACACTTTACCAGTTCACACACACATGGGTGAGAGCTGCATAAAAAATACATTACAGTAACACATCAGGCGGCACCTGTGCTCTGCATAAATTCTTCTAAGACGTTTTCTTACTCTTCTGATCCTTCAAACC